TCCCTCCCTCCGTCCCTCCCTCCCTCCCTCCCTCCCTCCCTCCCTCCTTCCCTCCCCAGCGCGATGGCGCCCACGATGCGCTCGCTGGCGCCCACCAACCAGGCACTGGGCGAGAACCTGGCGAACGAATCCATTTCTCTGAGGCCACATCTCCCAACCAGCGATACCATGAGAGCAAGCTCTGTGTTGCGGAAGAAGCACCCCGACGAGCAGAGCGCTTGGTGCTAAACGCAGCTGGGGAGGGAATCGAGGAAGGCTAGGATGCTTCGTACACGGCCAAGACCGTCTGGCAAACGGCAATTGCGAGGGTCGGGGTGGCTGCTCCTTCCTGGATTAACTGGGGGGATGGCGACCTCAATCTCGGACTTTGTGGGACCGCCGACAAGACCAACAATTCAGAAACTCGGCGGTATACCGTCTGGTGGCGTCCGTCCTCGGTAGGGATGCGCCCGCACAGCCTGTTATGCTCGGGGGTGTACTCCCTAGGTCCCCCTCTTCTCTGAACGGTCTGTGTCTTGGGGGAGAGGGACTCGGGGATTGGTAGGGAGAATCCACCCTGGAGTCCTCGACGCCGATCTTGAACTGGCCGCCGTCGCTGATCCCATTCGGCCTGGAACAGCTGGTGCCGGGGCTGGGCGGGGCGGGCTCTGAAACTGCTGGGTGGCTGAGGCTGGTGGTGGAGCTCCTGGTAGGCTCGCCGTCCACGGTCGCGAGGCTCCCCTCGGGAGGAGAAGCACGGCGACCAGAACCAAGATGTCGCGGGATCTTGTCGACGCCGAGCTTGGTCAGGGCCCATGCCGGCCGTCGCCGCTTCGCGAGAATGGTCTACGAATCGGCGTTGACCAACTTGGACTGTGACCAAAGTCAGCACCGAAGTTCCCGCGTTCAGTCGTGGTCATGGTCCTCGGTCTCTTCCCCTCCACCACCGCCGAAGAATTGTCGCGCGCATCTTGGACCGCATCCGCCCGCGTAGTGCACGTCCCAATCGCACGTCCCAAATATCCGTCGCTTTTGCTGTGGTTGAGCCCAGCACAGATGTCCACCAGCTCCAAAAAACAGTTCTTGACGACCAACATCGTTCCGTCGGCCTGGTACGGACCTTGCTCCGTGACGCCGCGACTGCTGGACATCAGACCGCTCATTTAGAACAGGCCCCTCGTTTAGAGCAGTTCGAGCGTTGCGGACAGTGAGAGCCGACCTGATCATTGCCCACCCCCATTCCGATTCTCCTAATCCTGCTGATCCACGTGCTGACGATGAGATCGCTCATCCTCGCTCCCGCTCCTCCAAGCAATGACTTGCGATCGGCAAGATTCAAGCACTCAGATCAAATCCTCCTAGAGACAAACTCAGTCAGCGTGAAATCGGGAAATCTAATCGAATCGGAAAGTGCGTCAGATCGGGCTGCATCGGCACTCGAAATCGAATCGGATCGACTGCGCCAAGATCCACAACTGCGACTTGTAAGCATGAAGCTGAAGCCACACCGGATGACTGGAAATCGGAGTCGAATCGGATCGAGCTCGTCGAGCTTGAGATCAGATCGATCGGATCTAAAGGGGACCTTCTCCAGGTCAACGAACTGCGCTCCAGAACGAGTGCGCAATTCCTGAGTGTCGAGGGCACGGCGTCTGGATAGATCGCGAGGAGCTTCCAAGCGCGAACGCGCTTCCTGGGTAATGTGCGGGGAAGTCCCGCGCGAGCGCGCGACTCTGCGTGTGGTTCCTTTTAGCGCGGGCCCTGGACCTGAAGGCTTCCCCCGCTGCCCACAAATCTTACCTCTCGAGCGGCTTCTGAAGGCCGCCGGGGCCAGCAGGGGCTCCGGGAGGCCAGAAAACTGCGAAACGCCTCTCTGCCCTTCTCTCTCAGGCTCCGCTGTCTCCATACCGAGTTCCTCCCCCTCTGAGGGGCAACGATAGGGGGGACTGGCACAGGGAGCGCCGCTCCCCGCCCGGGAGCGAGGGGGAGGAGGAGGAGGAGGAGGAGGAGGAGGAGGAGGAGGAGGAGGAGGAGGAGGAGAAGGAGGAGGAGAAAGAGGAGGAGGAAGAGTAGGAGGAGTAGGAGGAGGAGGAGGAGGACGAGGAGGAGGAGGAGCGAGGAGGAGGAGCGAGGAAGAGGAGGAGGAGGACGAGAAGGAGGAGGAGGAGGAGGAGGAGGAGGAGGACGGGGGGGGGATGCACCGACCAGGCATCGGCGAGGCATCTCCGATTCCTGGTCGATATGGGGGGCGATGCGTCCCCCCCTCTGCCTATCCCCCCCTCCTATCGTTAAGTCGGGCGTGTCCCCCTACAGGGGATTTCCGACGAGAAATTCAAAAAGACCCCAAACAGTATCAAAAAGTAGTCCAACAATAGTCTGGGGACTATTTGTTGAGTATGTGTTGACCCTCTTAGGGGTATTTCGGGAGTATTTTTTATGTGTTTCGTCGACAATCCCCCTGTAGGGGGACAGGCCCGACCTAACCCTCTCGTTGCCCCCGACCCTCCCCGAGGTGGCACGACTCTCACCACCACACGTGGTGTCAGGCGCCCCGACCCTGTGCCGCAGGCGCTGCGGAGCTCGAGCCGGTGTGTGGCCTCGTGGGGCGCCGCTCCAAGCCGGGGAGCGAAGGGGAGGGGGGGGGGAGGAGGAGGAGGAGGAGGAGGGGAGGATGAGAGGAGGAGGAGGAGGAGGAGGAGGAGGAGGAGGAGGAGGAGGAGAGGAGGAGGAGGAGGAGGAGGAGGAGGAGGAGGAGGAGGAGGAGGAGGAGGAGGAGAGGAGGAGGAGGAGGAGGAGGAGGAGGAGGAGGTAGGAGCGAGGAGGAGGAGAAGGAGGAGCGAGGAGGAGGAGGAAGGAGGAGGAGAGGAGGAGGAGGAGGAGGAGGAGGAGGAGGAGGAAGGAGGAGGAGGAGGAGGAGGAGTGGAGGAGGAGGAGGAGGAGGAGGGGGGGGGGGGGGAGGAGGAGCGAGGAGGAGGAGGAGAAGGATGATGAGGAGGAGGAGGAGGAGGAGGAGGAGAAGGAGGAGGAGGAGGAGGAGGAGGGGGGGAGGGGGAGGAGCGAAGGAGGAGGAGGAGCGAGGAGGAGGAGGAGGAGGAGGAGGAGGAGGAGGAGGAGGAGGAGGAGGAGGAGGAGAGGAGGAGGAGCGAGGAGGAGCGAGGAGGAGGAGGAGGAGGAGGAGAAGGGGGAAGGAGGAGGAGGAGTGGGGGGAGGGGGATAGGGGGGAGGGGGAGGAGGGGGGAGGAGGAGGAGGAGGAGGCGTTCCGCCAGGAGGAAGCAGAGCACCGAGCAGAGCCCCCCGGCGTCCTGAGCTGCTTCGAGACGTGACCCCCCAAAGTCTCGACCCCTTCCCTGGGACCAGCACCTCGTCCCGAACTCATGTTTGAGGGTCCCGGGTCCGTCAAGAGCCTCTGGAAGCCGAGATGATCAGACGACCTCCCGTCAGCATTACTCGAGCGGGCCTAGGAAGCACGAGGGCGGTCAGGGTAGACTGGGCTGCGGCCCAGCCCAGAAGTGGGCGTGGTACGGCAGAAAAAACGCATGCCCGAGGCTTGGCGTGCCGCAGCGCCGTGGCGTGACTGACGGGTCCCGCTCGTGGCCCTGGCACGCGAGTCGCTTGATGGAGGAAAAAGCAAACACAGAAGTTGTCGGATGGCCGCGCAGATGTCTCGGAGTCCATGTGGGAGGCTCCTGCCATCGCTGGCATATCGGCGATGTATCGTCGATTCTAAATCGATGTTTCCCTCCCCGGGAAACACATCAACGCATCACGATCAAGCGTCGGAGGACCGCGCAGATGTCTTTGTTCGGTGCTTGACTTATGTCGGGCCTGTCCCCCTACAGGGGGATTTTCTACGAAAAATAAAACAATACCAAAAAAATGCCCCAAAAAGGTCAACAAATATTCAAAAAATAGCCCCCAGGCTATTGTTTGACTATTTCTTGGGTATTTTTAATTTTCCGTCGAAAATCCTTTTGTAGGGGGACAGGCCCGACTTAACGCTTGACCCCCTCACTGGCGCGCGGGGCGCTCCAAGGGCGGCGCCAAAGACGCCGTCAGGACGGCCACTGTGCCGATCCGAAAAGTCCGCGCGGACCTCCGAGAGATGATGTCTATCGGGAGCGGCCAAGAGGGGGGTGTTCAAGAGGGGGGGGGCAAATCATGACCGGCAGCATGTGCGCGGCCCAGCGGGGGTCACAGTGACGTAATGAAATAAGAAGAGGCGCCATGAGATCTGGGGAAAAATCATGGCCCACGCAATGATATCCACCCCCCCTAGTCATCACCCCCTTCTTTTTTCCGCCCCCGAGTCTGGAGCCACCGCGAGGAAAGCCGAATCAGGAACGGATGCGATTTCCCGACAGGGGCGGGCGTCGGCCACGAAGCGACTCCCCGATCGACCTGGATCGAAAGATCGGCCCGGTGGCCACATCGGGCGGGGCCTGGGCGAACAGGAATCTGCTGCCGAACGCTCCGGGACGTTCCTGAGAGCTCAGAGATGGCCGCAGCGCCCGAGACATCCCCCTGAGCTGGCGGATCTCGGATAGCCTCGAGTTATCATCACCCCGTTGTGCCCTCGTCCTGGCTCCGTCTTGCCATAGCCCATTCTTAGCGCAACGCTGTCCATGCTTCAGCGTCTCGACCGTATGGTCTGTGCCAGTCTGTCTCCTTCGGCGCGCGGTCGGAGGCGACGATAGAGGCGAATAGCCAAGGGGCGGGCAGTACACGCATTCGCCCGAAGGCCTCGCAGAAGGCATAGACCGTCGGCACCCCTGGATTCGCGGCCACCCCCGCCGCAGCCCAGCCAGGCGCGGGCGCGGCGTGGGGAGGCAGCGGGGGGGGCAGGCAATGCGAGGACAAGGGCGAAGAGGAGGAGGAGGAGGGCGAACAGGAGGAGGGCGAACAGGACGGGGAATGGAACGGACTGGAATGGAACGCGCGGCGGATGGGTGCCCGCCTTGCCGCCGCGGCGGCAGTTGCTCGGCCACGGCCTCCCACACACCCAGACTCAATGCCACTGCTTTCCCCAGCGAGCGGGAGTGGCGACGAGGAACCCGAGGGTCCCACCGACCAGGTGCTCCCCAGCACCCCAGCAGCGGCCCTTCCAGGAGGGGCAGGGCCGAGGAGGACGAGGGTGAGGGGGGGTTCCTCCTCATGTTCATGTCGCATTCCGGTTGCTCGAGGCGGCCACGGGCGACAGCAGGGCGAAAACTTCGCCAGACCCACCCAGTGCACGTGGCGGCCACGAGGCGGCCACTGGCAGCAACGTAAAGCATCAACGCAAAACCGATGCGCATACCTTTGTGCCGAAATGCGATACCCCAAGTGCGAACATCGTCGGACGGGACCAACGCCAATAAGCGACTCACCGTGGACCCCTAAACACTGCGTTCTTGTACTGTGGGTGTGTAAGCTACGTGGTGAAACCATGCGGTATAAGCTGGGATGGAAGCTAAGTGGTGCAAACAATGACTGACAGTGTGACCCACACTGTGAGGTGCAGTCTGCGTTGCGCAGTCTACGCGGTAACGTGTACGTGGTGGAAACTGTATGGTGCAAGCTACGTGGTGCAATCTAGGTGTTGCAAGCTACGTGGACGAAGGTACGCGGTGTAAGCTATGTGGTACCAACGATGTGCTGCCAGCGACGTGGTGCAAACAAGTATGAACACATTGATTTTGCCGACGCCTCTGCTCACGCACAAACCCCACCCTTCCTCCCGCAATTTGTTTTGCAAAACCCACGCGGCCGCAATTGCGGTGACAGCTTGGCGCTGGCTGGCGCGACTGTGCGGCCGCGCTGGCGCGCGCGAGCTCGCGCGACGAATGACTCACTGGTTGGGCACAGCTGGTGCAGCCGGCATTACGCTTGCCAAAGGGAACCTTCCACCGCGCCTGAAGGCTGGCGCGCGGGCGCTGCAGCGCATGTCGGTGATTCGGGCGGGCGCGATATCGTGATAACCTCGACAACGGCGGCAACGATGATGATAGTAACGATGGTGAAGGTGATGGTGACGATGGCGACTGTCAGACTCATGGCGGCGGGGATTTGTTCAAACAACGGTGGCGACGATGACGATGATGACGTCCCTGTGTCGGCGATGATCGCGATTGGTTGATAACGGCGGCAACGGCGTCGATTGACAATACGGATAACGGCGCTGATGCGATGGCACTCATGAGTGCGATGGCGGGGGGGGGGGGGCGCGCACGAGGAGAAATCCCATCAACCTGGCAGACTGCGTGTAGCAAAACATGTTTCCATAGTCCCAACAGCCCTCAGGGCGTAGGTGTTTAAGCAAATTGTGTCGTCTCTCTGCCCAAAATCCCTCCTTCCCCTGCTCGCGGGGGGGACCCCTCCCCCTCCCCATTTCAACTCGGGTCTGGACGGGGCGCCCCGCGAGGGGTTAGAGCGCCCAAGATAACCCAAAATTGCTCCAAGGGGGCCTCACAGAGCCCTAGGTGGCCTCCCCAATGGCTCAAGATAGCCGATGATGGCTGCAGATAACCCCCGACATGTCTCGAAGAGGCTCCAATACGTCCCCAAAACGGTGTCAACTGCCCTTCGGGCCGCCAACGAGTCCCCAAGAGGACCACCATTGATCAAACACCTGAAGAGATCCATGTGGTATGCCTTCCCGCACTGTCGCTTGAGATGGCCCCAAGACGGCCCAACAGAGCGCCAAGAGGGGCCCAATAGGGCCACACGACGGCCTCAAGAGCGCCCAGTGGCGCCCCAATAGCGCCCCAACGCGGCCTCACGACGCAATGTTTGAGCCTCCGAGGGGAGGGGGGGGGCTGAATTCAATACCCCCACTCTTTTTGGAGAGTGGCCCCCAATGGCACAGAAGAGTACGCTCGCCAGGTCGGGGAGGGAGTGAAGGTGAGGTGATTCTGCAAATGCTAATCACAATGATCTGTCCTAACATGGCGAATGCACACATCGAGGAGAAAGGCTCCTTCCCTAAAGGGAAAGAACAAACTACGTCAGAGTGACGGGGTTGAACGGTCCTTCACTGTCCCTGGGTGCGTGGCTGAATTGGGGTTCCGCGGTGCGGAGTGATGTTGCCTTGTTGCTGCTGATAAATTCTCGCTCCTAAGAAAGATATTGCCGATCTCTCGGGTGCCCATTTGGTTCTCTCGCCTCGGGGCTCGCACCCTGTCTCCATCGGGGAAAAATATGTGGTCACCAACCTGTACCTTTGCCGCCCGCTGTACAACGATCGTGACTCCCGCCTTGCACTTCCTCACCAACATGTTTAGTTCAATTCACATACGCGCTCTCGCGCTGGACTCCCTTATAATGATCCAGGGGTCGCGCTCTCGCGTGGTACTCCCTTCCAATTTCCCACGGCGCCGTGCCCCCAAGACTCACAAATCACGCTCTCCCCCCATATGCCCAACGATTTAATTGGAACTAGGGTTACCGCTGGAAACTTCCATCATGATGGGTTCACGCTGTAGCGACCCGCCCGCTCGACCTGGCCGTATGGGCCCGCCCGCCCGACCTGCCCGACACGCCAGTCTGGTTCTGCCTATTGTGCTTCTACTCCTCAACCTCCTCATAACTTTCTCTCGTGCTTCGTCCTTCTCCCTCCCC